GCTAAATTAATTATAGTAATTAGCATGTAATTAAGAAAAGACTTAGAAAAATAATGAAAAAGAAAAATTACAGAGAAGTTATAATATTGTTACATATTGATTCTACTATAGTAGTATCAAATTAACTATAAAAATAAGTACAGAAGGTTCTGAGAAGTTTATCTTGAAGATAAAATAATCCTAAGGCTGAGATGATAATCTAAACATAATCTAGTAATGTTAACACAGATTGCAGTTTCAGAAAATTTAAAATAGAATATCCAAACAATGATATTAGATATGATAATTAATGAGGAACCTTTAAGTGAATTTCTTAAATAAGTAATATAGAAAAATTACATATATAACCAATTATAAACTCTTTTTGTAATAATTTCCTATGAAACACATTACCAAAAAAACATTAATAAAAATCAAAAGATCAAAGAAGTTACCTTAATACCAAAAAAAAAATTTATAAATAAATTGCATTATATTTTAAATATTGAAATTTTGACACAAGAATTCAAAGTATTGATTATAACTCATTGATTAATGTATTTACCTTTTACAATCAATTAATAAATTAACAACTATATGGCTAAATTGCAAGAATAAATTAAGCATGTTAAAGTTAGGGTTACTTTTTGATGTAGTTAGTGTTACGCTTTATATATGGATATCAAAAATACAATTTATGTAGTATGTAGATCAATAACATTACATAAAAATCTCAATTATACCGATTTGATAAGGGACTATACATCTGTTTGATTCAGTATGTTGACCAAACACCCTAGCGGAATGATCTGGTATTGTAAAATAGTTTTTTTTATATGTTGTACACTGGGTGAAGGTTCCTCCTGTTATATATTGTACCAAACAAATTCCAAATTTTTATATGGAAATTTTTAAAAAAAGCCGGCCGGCCGAAAATTTCATGTTAGATACTAAATTTGTGTGGCCTTAGTGTTAAAATTCAAAAAAAATTTTTTTTTAATATAGCTTTCGGCGTCTTTTCTACATCATAATGTTCTTAACAATTTTTTGATCTGATTCGCTCGGCTTCCAGCTCTATATTTGTTTTTTTTTTCTGACAATATTCTAAAACTCAAAATAGTATTGTACTATGTGTTGGCATTATCAGAATCGCTTCTAATAAAAGTTGGTGAAGCACTTGATCTCATCTTAATATCATTTTGATCCAGAATGTTAATATGAAAGTTAGGCTTCCAAAGAATACAGTAATCTGACAGAATTTCATATTATCAAATTTCAAAATGTCTAATTTAATAAACAACATCTATTGTAAAATAATATAAATAAATATACACAATCAAACAATGCTTACAATATTAGGAATGCTAAATTTCCTGCTACATTGGTTTTACTAGTTAATCTCCACTTTTATAAGACCGAATTGGAACCAATAAGTCCATTATTTCAGTTTATAAGTCAACGTTGGTCCAGGCACTTCTAATACGTATTTCTAAACAAAATCAAAATTAACATTACTTATTGTTACACACATTCTGGTACAAACTGTGCTACTCAATTAAATTACCATAATTTGGCCATACAAATATCCAAACAAACCAAAAAAAATCATCAGGATACTACATTCTCAATTACAGTAATTAAAAATTGAGACAATCTTATTCGTTTACAAGTTGTAATACAATATATTCTGTTATTGATTTAAGATTGCAGAACATCTCGTATATACCCAGTTATAAATTGGTGATTGGTGAATTAATTTATCTAGGCAGCATCTTGTATCATCATATAAGTGAATGTCCAATATTTTATTACCTGGTTAGTGGTTAAAGGCTACTATTCGCTTTAATTTGTGATGCAATGAATCGAATTAAAGTAATTCGAATTTAGATATTTGTGGTATACTACAATTCAGCGTAAATTCGCATCCTTCTTTCAAAATAGTAGACTTAATGGCCATTTCTAAGTTGTTTTTTTAAGAACTATTTACTATAGTTTCAGTATAGTTTCAGTCATTCCTTTTATTTCTGCTAGTCATTCTTTTTTGTTCTCTTTTAGATATTATTGTAGAGCAATTATCTACCTGAGAGAAATTCGAGCAACTATTCTTTTCCCTCACTGCCTTTACGTACATCTAAAAAAGAACGATGATATTTAAATCAATCCAATTAATTTTATTTATTTTTATAGTCGGAATTATAAATTATGGGAGTGAAATCAACGCCGATATTTCAGCTGATAGTCCCACTAGTACCCTTAATGCAGCAGCAAGTACAGACGGCCCTAGTCCTAATAGCACTAGTGCTAAAACTTGTGTAACACTCAATACTTGCAGTAAAGCGAAGGCTATGTGTGGATCCGCATTTGTTCCCCCTACGTTGAACGGTTCAAGTCATTATTCAGCGTCGAGTAAGAATCAAAATCATTCTTTTGCTAATATATATATATTTTATTCATTTTATAACTAATTCGAAAATATTTGTATTACTCTTTGATACAGACAAATGCGAGTGTAGCATATTTTTTTATAACAATCTAACTCAATGTTTAGCTTGTTATAAAAGCGCGAAATATAATTATGCCATTGATGTTATGAACAAATGGCAAAGTGACTGTGCTGCTTTAGGTTTCGCATTCACTAATACATCAGATTCGTAAGTTTATCAAAAATTTTTTTTCTCAGCTAGTTTAACTCGGTGTTAATATTCTTTTATTCTTCTTAGCACATCAACTAACTCAAATTCAGATAATTCCACCAACATTATGATATACTTAATTATGTGCGCAACAGCGATTGCTATATTTCTTGGGGTTTTCATCATGTGGCACCTAAAGAAACGTAAAATAAGACAATCCGAAGGTAAAATTGTTTTATATGTAGGACTTTCAAAACATCATATAATGAATCTTAAAGGTATTTTATAAATATTATAGAAGATGAAAATACTTATGATGATCCGATGGATTATTCAGAAAAAAAAGAATATGATTATGGAGTTGCCCACCAGCCAACATTTCAACCTCAAAACATTCAAATGCAACAACGTGCAAATGTAATGAATTCAAATTGGAATGAGTCGAAAAACACACTTGTAAACAGTTTGGATTATATATACGATGCAACCCAGAAATTTAATACCTTAAAACAATCAACAACTCGAGAAGTTAGTGCCTTCGAACAAACAGCAACTCGGGAAGTTAGTGCTTTTGAACAAACAGCAACTCGGGAAGTTAATCCCTTCGAACAAACAGCAACTCGGGAAGTTGGTGCCTTTGAACAAACAGCAACTCAGGAAATTAGTGCCTTTGAACAAACAGCAACTCGGGAAGTTAGTGCCTCCGAACAAACAGCAACTCGGGAAGTTAGTGCCTTCGAACAAACAGTAGCCCAGAAAGTTAGTGCCTCCGAACAAACAGCAACTCAGGAAGTTAGTGCCTCCGAACAAACAGTAATTCATGAATCTAATGCTCTCGAACAAACAGTAATCCAGAAAGTTAATGCCTCCGATCAAACAGCAACTCAGGAATCTAATGCTCTCGAACAAACAACAACTCAGGAATCTAATGCTCTCGAACAAACAGCAACTCAGGAATCTAATGGTTTTGGACAAACAATAACTCAAGAATCTAATGCCCTTGAACAAACAGCAACTCAAGAATCTAATACACATGTAATTCAAGAATCTAATGCTCTCGAACAAACAACCACTCAGGAATCTAATGATCTCGATCAAACAACAACTCATGAATCTAATGCTCTCGAACAAGCAGCAACTCAGAAAATTAGTGCCTCTGAACAAACAGCAACTCAGGAATCTAATACACTTGAACAAACAGCAACTCAGGAATCTAATACACTTGAACAAACAGCAACTCAGGAATCTAATGCACTTGAACAAACAGCAACTCAAGAATCTAATGCACTTGAACAAACAGCAACTCTAGAATCTAATGCACTTGAACAAACAGCAACTCAAGAATCTAATGCACTTGAACAAACAGCAACTCAAGAACCTAATGCACTTGAACAAACAGCAACTCAAGAATCTAATGCACATGTAATTCAAGAATCTAATGTTCTCGAACAAGCAACAACTCAAGAAAATAATGTTCTCGAACAAACAACAACTCAAGAATCTAGTACACTTGAACAAACAGCAACTCAAGAATCTAATGCTCTTGAACAAACAGCAGCAGGAAAATTTGATGCCCTTAAACAAGCAACGACCCATGAGCAAAATACAACACAAGAATTTAATGCTCTTGATAAATCAGCAGCTCAAAAAGTTAATGAAAACTCAATCTCACTAGAAATTGGCAATAACGATCAACAGTATAATTACTATTCCGATGATGACTATAATGGCTATAACAGTTATTATCGTAACAGTAGTATTAAACATTGATTTATTATTAATATATATACTGTATATTAAATATAATCGTGATCTTATACAAAACAAAAAAAAATGATTTTATTTCCTTTTTTTTTTTTTTGTTATATAAATGAATAGATAGAATAATTTAATTACTTTATCAATCTATTAATTCGTAATAAATAAATATTAATGATTTTAATACCGTAAAAAAAAATTATAACTTTAAATGGAATTTGAATTCATAAGAGATTCGACTTGTCGTTATGCGACAAATTAGACATGTGCCTTTATTATTTACTCCTTTGAGTTACAATAATTTTTAATATTTTATATTTGTAATTCATCCAAGTTACACTACTCTTTAAAGTTTGCTTTTTTGGTGCGTTAACCATTCATTCTAATAGGCTGATTAAACGTGACCAAATATATGTGATATTGATCTTTTTAGTCACTTCAATAATATGTGCTTTGATTATCAAACAGAAAAATGAAAAATTTTTTGGGAAGAAAATTATATGATCTGGTCTCTTAAAGAAGAGATAACGAATGCGTTCTAGAACTAACCATGGAATCATATTCTTCAAGGCAGAATCATACAGGTTTCTCTTTCTGCCACTCATCAACAATGCAATCCGGAATTTTTTGTCCGTTGTAAGTATACTTCATTTAGAGACGGTTTTTAGGTTGGAAAAAAAGTAGTGTAATAAATGCAAGCGTTACAGTTCCTAACTAATTTAGCCAACTGGTTTGAGAAAAAGATTGAAAATAGTAATGACTCATAACAATGTCAGATTAAATAGATTACAAATACTTAAAGTTTTATTTAGATATGAAGAAATTATTTGGTAATTGATTTTATTTAAAATAATAAACTTATAATCTCATGTAAACATAATCTATCTTAACTGTAAGCCACAAAGATCATAAGCAATTAACTGTAAGCCACAAAGATCATAAGCAAATTAAATAGAACCTATATATTATCACAAGAAAATTAAATATAACTTATCTATTATCGCAAGCAAATCAATAGAATCTATTTGCTTTAAAAAACCATTGTATAAGCTTTATAGCGTCTTTAACATTGCCGCCGATTCTGTTAAAACCCTTAAAATTTAAATACAGTCACAAAATTTAAATTCATTATGTTTTTTTATACTGATACATAGTTGATTAAAGGATGTGTCATAAAATCAAATATCAAATTTTTGGGGTGTGAACAGAATTGACAGCAATGAGCAACAGTAAAACCAATTTTAATTTATGAATTTTCAAGATCCCGAAACATAATGCCAAAATTTAATTTTCCTGAATTAACCTATTAAAAAGTCGTCAAATATTATCATTATATATAATATTGTATCTTGTTCAATATTTTCAAATATGTACATGTAAAATTAATATTATATCGTTTTTAAAAAATTTATTGTCACGTGATAATATACAATGGCTTATCCAATAGCACGCCTCGCTTTGACATGATCTGGAAGATCAAAAAAATTTTCTTGCTATATCGATATGCCTTGCAACTTAAACGAATTTACGATTTTTTGTGCGTCACAATACTGTCACGTGACAGCAAATTTTTACGGCAGATAGTGACCAATCGATTGTGTTCAACTAAGTTACATATAAGTTATAAGAGTAAGATTGTGTTTTTCATAATTACCGTGATCGCTTGATAATCAAGAGATAAATAAACATTAAGTTTAATTTTGTGTATGATCGAACTCCTTTGTATTTAATTTCAGTATGCCAACTCGTGAAGTGTTGCATGAGTAGGGAGAAGTCAATAATAAAATACGTATTAAAAGAGTAAAACATAATAGACAAACGAAGTAAAAGGAAAAAAATAAGGAAAGAACTTCTAGAATAACAACAACGAATCTTGGGACAAATAATTTATGTAATCTATAATAGTACTTCGAATTAATAATTTATCTATTTTAGTATTATACACATTAAATAGTTTAACGTATCATTTCAGGATTCTAAGTTCCGTTAATGAATTATGAATTAAGTAAATGAAAACTTATCACGCCCATTTGATCTGTCATCTTTACATAATTCAAATAAATGATATATCTTCGAAATAATTCTGTAACGTGCAAATAGAAAAACTTTCACATTAGTTATAAACTTAATAATTGACAATTGCACAGATAAAATAATTGGAGAATAATCAGTTTCTTTTACAGAATTGCTTGATAAAATAATTAGAGAATAATTAATTTCTTTACTATTTCAGCACGTTACTCCGAAATCAAATTTGTAAGATAAAATTTTACAGACTACTTCTAAATATCCAGCCATTTAGAGTTATAGTAACTTTGCTTTCTATCAATATTGAAAAAGTAAAGATAACAATTATCTTTTTATTATATAAAGGTTATATCATTGCATATATTAGCGTTAGTATGTAAATTTGAACGAATGGATTATGGATTACCTAGCATGTGATATTTTAATTCATATAATCGATTACTTACATCTAACGCTAATATACCTATGTAATTCTTGAAATTCATCATAAGAAAGATAAATTATAAATTACAGCAAATTAAAATAGTTTTATGAAAAAAATCAGTGTTTTCATCTTCGGATCAATCAGGTTATTCAATAACTAATTGAGAAAAGACTTGAAAATGGTCCAAGTTAAACATTGAGATACTGATGAGAGAAGTTGGATGGAATGAAAACAGGACGGGACAAGGCCAAAAAAACTTGATATTTAAAATAATGCTGTCTATGTATATATACTTTTTAAAATATATTAAGAAGCTGATGTAACTAAAAAAAAATTTAAGCTTATAAAGTTTTATACTTTATTATATAAAACTAAAGTATGATTAGTGAGCTATTAGTTTTTCTATTGCGAATCATTATGTTGATCCCTATCTTTTTTTAATGACTTTTAAAGTAAGCAACATTTTAAAGAATAAAACGCGAGAGTCAACTTTAAAGTTAGTCCATAACTAAAGATCATATTGTCATAATACTTTATCTCCTTTATATGCACATGGAATTCTAATACAGTCGTCCCTCCATATAGTCACCTCCCATATAATCACATCATATGTAATCACATTTACATTTGGGCTAAGTTACGATTTAATTTATAAGAAATAGCCCTCCATATAAGCACAACTCCTTTATAAGCACATTTTTTAAAAAAATTACTATGTGCCCAACTGTGTGATTATATGGGAGGACGACTGTACGTGAATTTTATATAAAACTTATTTAAATGTCAAATTTTATGAATAGTGACGTACTTTAATCTTAAAACATTTATTATTAAATTAATCAAAACATGTAACCAGTACTAATAAAATATTTATCATGACTGGTTCTATTGCCGTATTAACAAACCTTATCGAGAATTTCATGTTTCATATTCAAAGGGATCTTTTAAAGTTATTGCAATTTTGTTAATGTCAATTTTATGATCTGGTATAAAGAGTTTATCTTCTCTAAACACAAATCCTCATTTTGTATAATTAGTTGAGTCCAATCTACCAGTATTTGCTTAATATTTAAAGTCTACTTATTATCGTTGTCAACATGTAATATGTCGGTTAAGTTACGAATAATTTCTTCTGCTGATGGAATTTGTTCTTCCGATTTTTTCAAAAAAAACCCGAATTTGATCTCATATGAAGATAGTTTTGCATACCTCCCTCCTTTCTCCCTACACCTTTCCTCATGAGTATGCTTCGGATTACATCAAAGTTTGCTCCTTTCGGAAGTTCATACTCAAAACGCTTTTCGAGATTTGTTGTATCATCGAACTTTATGATAATATTGACGAATATTGTACTACCCATAATTGTACATACGTACAGTACCCTCAGAAAATATATCACAGTTACACGAAAAAACTTACCATAAATTTCTAAATATGTAAATTTATTGCTTAACGTTAAAAGTTACGTGTGTACAAATTCGGCTACGTACGTATGCGTTCTTTTTGCATAATTTATGTTAAGCTTTTTCGTGCAACCGTGATATACTTTCTGTACACAGGGTAACAATAACATAACTATCATGTAATCGCACATTAATGTGATACTGAATACTATAATGATAATGAAATTTGAAAAACTTACGTTAACGTTAAAGTTCTTTGCGAAGTTCAGGATTTTATGAATTCTAAATGGACAACTGGTCTAGTTCTGGATTCACGTGGAATACATATTGCAAACTCTCATCATGTAATTTTGATACACAACCTACATCTAACTTTTTGAAAAAAAGTCATATTGATCTAAATACCACCAATTTAGAACATATTGCTTCTTTAGAATCTAATATCTATGATATTTTTGATTTATCAAAATCCTTTAATTGATAACTCATCTGTAAATGATACTTATCTTGAAATTCGACATTTTATAGTCGAATTAGACTTTAAATTAGAGACAGCTAAATTATTAGAAAGATTAATAATAGATATGAAAAAAGCATTAGATCATAACCCATATTAGGAATTAGTTAAAATATTCTGAATTTATGGATATTTCTTGCCTAAAAGAGTCATACTTGGACATAAAAAATAAGAACAAAAAGGAATCAATCAGAATATATGACGTTCAATGACTTTCTTTAAAAACATAGAGAAATTTTGAATCAGTGGGAAAGTTGCATAGAATCTCATAATTTCGATACAAGCTATTTGTTATCAACAAATAGGGGACTCCACAGCAAAAGGTGATGGGTCAATAAAAAAAATTTTTTATAGTTTTTTTATATTGTATTCTAAATGATCTAATTTTTGCAAAAATAATGTTTTTACAAAAATTTTTTTTTACCTATCCCCTTTTGCTGAGGAGCTCCCCAAATGGAAAATAGTTAAGAGAAGTAACCTTGATAGCTTTATTTCATCTTGGTCGACAAATGATATCAATATTGGCTTGTTACAGGTTTCTGTTAGAATGAAATGTATCCATTATATAAAATATTCGATGATACTTTACAAAAAGAAATAAAGAATATTCTTGAAATTGATGACCAATCAAAAATATATGGAATTAAAAAAAAGATTCTTACAGCAGAAATGATACCAGTTAATAATTCCGTTTGCTACTATTATGTACACTTTCCTAATTATTTGGAATCTAATTATTATATAAGTTTTGGAAAACTGATGGCACAAAATGGAGAATTATTCAATCCAGTTAATCAAGTTGTTATCAAATTCAATATATGAATGAATGCATGCGGTTTCTCTGTAGAAATTGAAAATTTGGATGAAATTAAGTAAACTTCTATTGTAATGTTTAATAACACTAAATCAATTGTTATTTTCATTTAGAGAAAATACATTTTTGTATTTATAAATAATTTGAATACTAATTGGAATTCTTTTTAAAGTAGGAAGTAAAAACATATGAAATGTCTTCTTGTTAGCTTTTAATTACATTTCGTTCAAACCAAAAGAAGGTAAATGGAGTGGTCAGCTAGATGTTAAAAAGAATTTACCAACAAACTCCATTCTAGTTCCTTCATTTATCTGTCTTTAATTATCAAATTGTAAACAAAATTTTATAGTTAAATTTCAACATTATAACAAAGACATAAATAAAGTTATATTACAGTTATTGAAGTTAATGTTAATGATGTGAGCAAAACTTCTGATAAAAATCTTGATAATGTGAGTAAAACTCTGATGAAAACCTTGATAATAAATCAAATATTTACTTCAATGGTGTATTATTCTTCCTAAGCACCGGGAAATTAAAAATACTGATGATATCTTAATTCAAATTGTAACTATAGATAATAATATTAATACAGCTCAATTTAGTATTGGAGCAGATAATAATAATACTCTAATGCTTATAAATAATGATACAGTCAGACCTCTCTAAATGCAATGCGACGGGACCATATGTAAAAATTTAGCAAAACGTGCATTTAGAGAGGTATTGCATTTAGGGAGGTAAAAATCTATAGGTGTAATATAAGTTGGGCCCAAGAGAAGACGTGCATTTAGGGAGGTTTTTCATAGGCGTGCATTTGGGGGGGTAGCATTTAGGGGGTCTGACTGTATTAATCATCCCGTAATAATGAAAGTTAGAATGGGCAAATCTACTATTCAATTGAGTTATGAGGCGAATAAAAATATCCAGTCTTTCATGAATAATGAGATTATGAATGATATGAACTAAGCGATTTATATTTCTTAATAGAGAGTATTAAGAAATATTACTTTACCAACTGCATGGGATATTGAAAATAAATCACCATCTATTAACATAGATTCAAGTGGACTAAAATTGATATATACTGGTAAGAAAAGATAAATCTCACAAAAACATATTAAATTGAGTTAATATCTCGATTCAATAAGTGTAATCATTTGTAGTTTAACTAAAGAATTATACATAGCTGTTAATTATTTTAAAAAAAAATTCTTAAAGTTTCGGATGAAAATAAAGCTGTTATAATTAGGGCAAACTATCCAATTCCTTCACAGTGTGGGATATTTTACTTTGAAATTAAAATTATAAATAAAGGATAAATAGGTTTGTTAATTATTTCCTGTCATCCCTTTCTAGGACAAATGAAATGTGAGAATGTGGCTACATGATGATAATGGATATTCTTTTGTTCTGGAAGCAGTGAGCTGTATGACCCAACGTATACTACTGGTGACATTATTGGATGCTATTTGAATTTTGTAAACAAGATAGTATTTTATACTAAAAATGAAATTAACTTGGGTAATTAACACTTAGAAAATTTTTGGGGACACTTGAACAATCGTGAACCCATTTATATCACATTTGATATAATCACATTATGTAGTACAACCATATTATGCAGGTAGTACAAACCCTAACCATGACTGTTACACGAATGTTATTATTGTGATTATATAAGATGTGATGTAAATGGGTTCACGATTCTTCAATCTACCCAATTTTTGTATTTTCAAAGCAGATTAGGTAGAAATTTAATTGTCCGGAGCGTAGCGGAGGACGCTCAATTTCTATGCAAAGTGATACAAAAGTTACGTTTTTGATGCACCAAAAGTATCATTATTGATGCATCAATAATAAAAATATCAAAAACGTAACTTTGAATTTTCCGTCTGTCTCCACTTGCATATTCGTGTAACACAACAAATCTCATGTGATTTCGCTCCGGACTTATAATGGTTTCCGTTTTCTAGTATTTATAATATATTTGAAGGAATTGTGTGCAATCTGCCTGACAATTGGAAAAGCATTCTATATCCTTGCATTGGATTTAGATCACAAGATGGGTCTGTAGAAGTGAATTTCGGCTGTGAAACATTTAAATATTCTGGTAAATTTGTTAAAGTATTCAATTATTTTTAGGCTATTTAAAATTTAAACTTGTCTATATGTCCACTTCAATTTACATTAATAACTAATGAAGACATTAGTAAAAAATCACATTATATATTAGTATTAGAGAATCAAAAAAAGATTATTACATTATGGATGGATATGAAATTGAATTTAGAGACTATGACCCTTTATATTGGTTTTCTCTTAGACCCAAATTAAGTAAGAAAATTATTATACAAAAATAATGATTTTTTAACAATGTGAAAGTGTAATACATAACAGATACTGAAGTAGCGATTTATCTAAAATAGCTACTTTATATATTTAAAGTAGCATTCTGGCTAAAAATATAACTTAATACATTGGGGTGTTCTATATCGGTCTAATTACAAACATAGTGCAGATCACGTAATGATGATCACTTAATTAAGATTTTTTATAATAAAAAAATTTCTAGATCGACACATGATATGTAAAGACTATAAATAAGTAGACATCGCATATCCTTTAATTTCTTTTCCGATATCTAATAAAATCAGATCTTAGTAAGTGAATTGGCTCTACAGAATGTGCTTTATATAATGACAATGTTAGAACTTCACTTATCTCTTAATAACTAATAAATTTGCCTCATATATGTAATAAACTATAATCAATAACTTTAGTCAAATAAATCTGTCAAATGTAATTAAATATATTAAAAAGGTATTTATTAACTTCATATATATATAACTACTACACATTCTTTAAAAATTAAGAAACAATATAATTTAAATACAAGATATTACTGACAAGTGATTATTTAAATCATTTAGATCTTGATAAGAGAACAGTAACAAATATAGAATCAATGTTGATAATAATTAACATAATGTATTTTAAAACAAATAACTTGGAACTAAGAACATTAAGTACTAGATAATATTATTATAATAATATTGATTATAAAAAATTATTTAAAAATTAATATATTAATATTATAATCATAGAAACATATTTATTTATTTATTTATTTTTTCAGTATTAAGGTGACCTCTTTGGTTCTAGCTTTTTATTAATACTTATGTTAGGTATATGTTTTATACAAATGTATCTATATTGAACTATCAGATAATTGTACAACTGGTTATATGTATAACTTTTTTATATTATCTATTTAAGAAATCCACCCTAAGGTTTTTTACTAGTTGTTATATCTAACATCTCTGCTTAGATGTTCTATTTAAATCTTCTGATTTGATCCTAGTATTAATTTTACCAGATTACAAACTTAGATCTATTTGCTTTTAATCATAAGATTATAATCTTTAAACTATTTTTATCCTTGAGACAAACCTACCAAAATAAGTTGTATTTTTTTTTACTACTAATCTGGTTTAACACTATGGTCAAGACCAATACTTGCAGTCAGAGTAACCTATTAAACTATTATTATCTTTATAAAGTTTACTCAAATCCTAGTAGTCATTTTTCTAACTTTTTCTTCATCATCTTCTACTAGTTACAAC